GTACATGAATAGAAATATACCCACATGATATATCAGAAATACACATATACACAAAACCCTAAAAATTCCCAACAAATTGGTATCAGAGCCTAGTTCAATACAATGGAAGGAGAAAGAAATTTTTCACAAGTTGTTATTACAGTTTTTGATGGCGAAAGTTATGACTTATGAGCTGTGAAAATGTAATCCTATCTTGAAGGATTGGATGTATGGGAAGTTGGAGAAGAAGATTATATTATTGATCCACTACCTGAAAATCCCACCATAGTTGAAATGAAATTTCACAGAGAAAGAAAAACGAGGAAGGAAAAAGCTAAATCATGTCTGTTTGTTGGTGTTTCACAAATGATCCTCACCAGAATCATGATGCTAAAGTCACCCAAAAAATTTGGGATTATTTGAAAGATCGATATGAAGGGGATGAGAAAATTCGAGGTATGAAAGTTCTAAACTTGATAAGGGAATTTGAGATACAAAAGATGCAAGAGTCTCAAACAATTAATGAATACTCAAACAAATTGTTGAGTATTGCTAACAAAATAATATTGTTAGGAAAGGAGTTTCCTGATTCCAGAATAGTTGAGAAAATTATGGTAACTGTGCTAGAGAGATATGAAGCATCTATTACATCATTGGAAAACACAAAAGATTTGTATAATATTACTTTGGCAGAAGTGCTACGTGCTTTACAAGCGCAAGAGCAACGAAGATTGATGATAAGAGATCATGTTGCTGGTGAATGTTCTTTACTATATCATGATGGAGGTTTTGTCCAAGCCAAGAACAACAAAGGTACAAAATCACAAGTATTTTATGTTTGTCCTTATTGCAAGAAAAATAATCACACACCCAACAAGTGTCGTGGAGACCTGATGTGAAATGTCACAAATGTGGTCAATTGAGACATATAGAAAAGATATGCAAATCAAAACCACAGGAAGTCATTCAAGTTATAGAGGATAGGGTAGAAGAGGTACTTCTCCTTGCATCAACCTGCTCTACAAATAACAAATCCACAAGTTGACTTATAGACAGTGGTTGTACAAATCACATGACTCATGATTGAGAATTTTTCAAAGAGTTTGAAGAATCATATATTTCTAAAGTGAGAATCAGTAATGGAGAACAAATGGACGTGAAAGATACAGGAACAATTGCACTTAAAAGTTATTTGGGTATCAAATTAACTTTTGATGTTTTATATGTTCCTCATATTAATCATAATTTGTTAAGTGTTGCTCAATTATTTGGAAAAGTTATAAGGTATCTCTTGACCACAAACTTTGGTGATTAAAGATACAAATAACTTGAAAATATTCAAAGTTCATATGAAAGGAAAAATTTTCACTTTAGATTTTATGAAAGAAGAGTTGATTACAAACGAAGATATAAAAGAAAAGTCAGAGAAAAAACACGAAGAAGATTTCTTGAAGGAACTTGATGTTAAGGAGGAAAATAAATATGTATATGAAGAAATCATTTCCAACTTCCATCAAAGAGTCAACGGTACTACCATGAAGAAGTTTGAAAGAAACAAAGGAGATGAAGTTGATAAAGTAAGAAATATGTTGATGAAGAAAGTGAAGTTGAATGAAGATGTGATCTCATACAAGAAAGAAGATGACAAGAAATACAAACAAAAAAGGAGGAAAAATTATAAGCAAAAAAAATTTATCAAATTCAAATAAATAGATATTAAAGTAAGGAGGAATGTTGAGAATATTACTTTATTATCTTTTATTTAAATTAGGTATTAAGAAATTTTATTATCTTTTAAGATAGAAGGTAAAAAGATGTTAGGTTATTATTTTGATTTAGACAGTTATGATTGAGATATTATTGATATTTGATATTTTGTAATATTTTTACTCTATATATACATAGAGTACATGAATAGAAATATACCCACATGATATATCAGAAATACACATATACACAAAAACCTAAAAATTCCCAACAAACCTGACTATGATGCCTTAAGGCCTTTTGATTATGCCTTTTATCCTTGCCTCAAACCATACAATCAACACAAACTTTAATTCCACACTACACAGTGTATGTTCTTGGGATACAACAAATCTCACAAGGGATATAAGTGTCTCAACTTCCATAGAAGAATTTTTGTCTCAAGACATGTGGTCTTCAATGAGAACCATTTTCCATTTCATGATGGCTTTCTTGACACAAGAAATTTGTTAAAAACTCTAACTAGAATAATACCTATTATTCTTTCATCTTGTCCTACAGGAACCACTACAAGTCATACATTCACCTCAATTAATAGTGAGGTGAACCATCATTAGGAAGGTTACTTAGCTGTCAATGAAGATCAATCAACTCTCAATGACTTAGCTGCCAATGAAGATCAATCAGTGCTCAATGATATCTCTATCAATGCAGATGAGGTAACCTCATAGGTAAATGAAACACCAATTGTAGAAGGCCCAGCAAAGGACACACTAGAAGATAATAACCAATAGGCTGAGCAAGATAACACGCACTAGATTCAAACCAGAAGCAAGGTAGGGATTTACAAGCCAAAATTGCCCTATGTAGGGCTGATAGAGACACACACAAAGGACAAGGAACTAGAAAAATATCAATGAAACAATAGTCAATCCAAGATGGAAAGCAGTCATGGAAGCAGAATTTAAAGCTCTAGCAACTAATTACACTTGGACATTGGTACCATTTTAGGGGCAAAATAACATCATAGACTCAAAAGTGAGAAGGCCACGACCTTGATGAGAAAGGAGAGGATTATTTTTGGGTTTTATTCATCTCCTCTCGTCTCTTAAATCCTTGGAAGTGAACTTTCACACTTGTATAAATGAATATTTTCATGTATAATGGAAATTTTTCTTGTATTTTCTCATCTTATTTATAATAAACACCCTATTTATTACTTAAAAATTGTACTCATCACCATCACTCTTCCTGCTTATCAATTTTACTTATTTTTATTTAAATTATTTACAAATTATACCAATAAAATTGTTTGAATCTTACCAAATTTTAATTATAATTAAAAATATCATTTCCTTTTAAATTTCTATTAATTATAATTTTTATTTAAATTTTCACAAAGAATAAAATTGTTTAAATCTTATTGAATTTTACTTAAAATTGAAAATATCATAATTTTTCCTTTTTAAATTTTTATTCGCAAATTATCTATACTTTTAAAATATTTCTTTCAAAATTATTCCTTGTCATGATCTTTTTTTCAACTTGACAACTATTTGAATATAAAATAAATTTAAAATATTAATAAAAATAAATAATAAAACTAACTTCACTTAATTTAAAAATTACAATTAATTAAAATATATTCAAAAAATATTATTCAAAATTCAAACTTAAAATTTTAATAATTATAATTTTAAGGGTTTAATTGTTAATATAAATTATATATTGTAAAATTAAAATATATTATAAATGATTAATTAATGTAACAATTAATATATTTATTATAAATAATTATAACTCATTAAATTATATTTTAATAATTTTATTTTAATAATATTTTGTACAATTGTTTTTAATGCAAATAAGAAAAATTGTATTTATTTGAATAATAAAATTAAAGTTTGCATAACTAATTTGCATTTTATAAGTTACATAATTTAAATAACATTGATTATGTAAATAAAGCATAATTAATTATCTCTCATTATAGTACTAAAGCATAATCTATTATTTCTTATTTGATAACTAATAATTAAGGGATACTAAAGACATTCATAATATTTTATTTTTTTCACAAACATTTTGTATTTTGTGATATTCAAATTAAATATAGGATTCACCAAATTTTCCATACAAATAATTTCAAATCATCAAATCTAAATTTTGGGCTTAGATATAAGAAAACACAAAAGAAACTTTATCTTCTTGAATTTGACCTATTCGCAATAAGTCAATTTGGTTTAGTAAAGATACACTCCCCCAGGAAGCCTTTGTTTACCTTTCAAGAGGTAGTAAACCTTACAACCGACCTCCTTCACCATACCTCTTTGCTTTCAACTCCTTCCTCTCACCTTGCCACTGAATTCCCAACCTTCCCAGCTATCAAACAACAGTTAACTGCACCAAAACATCAGCCAAGGAGTAGAGTTCCTCAAGAATCAAGCTTTTCTGCAACCAAAACTTCTCAAGATTCATTCAAGAACCCCAATAAAGCCTTCCTCTAGTTGGTTGCCAAACCAAGGATATGGAGTTATTTTCCTACCAACTAGTGAATTTTAGGCAATTTGGTTGTAGTCAAATGATCTCTTTTCCTCATGTCAGAATTATATAAATTATTACCTATTTTATATTTTGGTCCTTATGATATAAAATTTTAATTGTTTTTATTTTTCATGTCAGAATTTTATCTTTTAATAATAATGCTACATATAAAAATATCACATCACTTTATTTAATATGTAATATCATGTCTTAATAATGTTGCATTTTATTTATAATGTTATAACAAATTAGAAATTTTTTTACCAGGACCTAAACGATGATATAAATATTATAAAAAATAAGTATATTAGAAAAACCAGAATCATGCTTAAGTGTTAAACAGTAAGATTTTAAAACAGAAATTTTACAAGGAGAGAATATGGACTTGCCTCCCACAATAGTTTGACAAGATTAGCCAAAATCAACTTCATTTAATTATACTTTATTTTTATAGTTGAACAAACACTACTTTATTATCCTTATATTAAAAACTCATTATATATATATATATATATATATATATATATATATATTAATCCCTGAATTTAGACAGTAAAAACTAAAAAAATTAAAATAATATATATAAAAACTATAAAGAAAGTAGATTATATTTATCTGACAAAAGAAAGATAGACCTTTGGTTTGGTAAAGCTCATAGTCCAAGGCAAAATGCACATTAAATCTTCCTTGACCTAAACAAAAATTTCTAATTAATTACTGTACCACCTCATGAAATATCAATCACTCCTAATAGTTTGATATTGGCTGAATTATACATTTTCCTCCGCTTCTCTTTGCAACTCACGTCGTGCAGCAGCCAACCTTTCTGCAGCCAATCGTTCTTCCAGTGCTCGAGCACCTCTTTCTCTGCATCAATCAACAGTACCAGTTGCCATGCCAAGTTATTTTATGCAGAAAAATGAAAAATGATTGCAACAGTTCTTATTGCTGTTTACGAAATCTGAAAAGAATGCTAAAATATGAAGACAAGGAAACAAAAAGAATCACCCCCACTGTCCCCGATAAAGAAACAAAAAAAGACGGCCATTTGGAAGTGTTACAATGTTTTATCAAAATATTGAACAAAATAAGAATCTAATCTCGGGAAGTAATGCTTCACTGTTGGTCTGAATAATGCAGATAGATAACATGACAACTAGAAATTTGACAATAAAAAATAATTTCCATTTTAGATAAAATAAATTAAGAAAAAGTCTGCACTCGGAATATTTACGAACAACTTGTCTGTTCTTTTAATAATATATCTATCTAAAAGAAAGGAAAATAAAGCAACCAAATATGCAAATTTTATTATTATTTATTTTGTTTGATTTTCCCTCATGACATGCTTTAAAGGAGCAATTTCATCTTGTAATATATACTACTGATCCAATCAAAATTAACATCGGGCTATCTAGAATTACCTTCTTCTAGATGCCTCAATTGAATCTGAACCTGGTAAAGGCTCACTTTCCAGAGTGTAGCTTTGACCATCATTTGAAGTATCAAATCTTCTACAGAGCATTCGGTGAAAAATTGATGCAATAGGGTCTATAACCGGTCTACAAGGTAGCAAAAACGTAAAAAATAATTAAAAAAATAAATAAAAGTTTCTAAAATTTTAGAAAGAAAATACAATAATTGATCACTTATTTTTTCTGAAAAATTAAGAGCTGCAATTACCTTAAAAATTCTGGGAAAAATGTGGAGAAAGCAAAATCCTCACTTGGGTCACCCCTAAGTTTTGTTTCTGGTTTCCTCTGCCAGTATCTAAGGTAAATCCAACTAATATATGTGCCAGATATAATGGTAGGAAGATATGCAGTAGCGTCTTGTGTCCAGAAGCCAATAGCAATGCAAAGCAATAAAGTAATAGATGGCAACCACTGAAGAGATGTCAGAGGCAACAAATTTAGAGCATTTCCATAAGCCTATTATTGCTGGTAAGCAACAAATAAGTGGAGGTAAGAGTATCAAACCTTTGTTTTTATCTTGATGAAAGGAAGCTCTTGATCTGGCATAATTTGCTTGATGCCAACCAAGAAACCAGATATAACTCCGTGAAATCCAGAAAGTGGCATATAACTACAACATTCAAAGAGGATATTAAGATCAAAATAATTTGTTCATGATGGAAAGAAAATTGCATGTGTTAAGATTCAACAGATAGCCTAAGGCCGGATCACCAAAACCAAACTACCAGTCTAATTATTATTAATACATATTGGTTTTAGCTGATATCCTAAACAAACAATATTTCCTATATGTCAAAGCCAAAAGAGCATAATTAATCACATTTCAAATCGGCCTCCATCTAGCTTTTAATTTAAAGTGGAGACACAATGCAGCACACAAGGTGTGGGAAAGAGAGAAATATAATACACGAAACAAAAAATAAGACAAAACATCATGAACAGAAGATAGAAAAAATGGATCTCGGATGACATTATATACATACAGGTAAGTCTCCAGCCTTGTAATGTAGTATAAGGCAATAGCAGTGATGAATACACATACTGAAGTTAGAAGATTAACCACAAAGATGAATTTAAAGAATTCCCTGGAGCCCCATATAGGTTCAAGCACCTTCCCAATAAACAGGAGACCCAATGTGCTGATCACTACCTATAAAATTATACAAACTATTAATTGTGATGTTTTTCTTAAAAGCAAGATTTACAAATCAGGTAATAACTGTATGTGCATACCCCATATACAGATTGTTCAACATAACCAGAAGTAATAAGATTCCAGGCAAATGGGATTGTCCTGCAAAATGAACAGAACAGAGAAATAAGTTCTGAAAAAGAATTTTGAAATATCTATGGAAAGGTAAGCCACATAATCATACTTATATAAAGAACTAAACAAGCACAATAGTCAAATGAGATTACTACTGATTCAGTTATATATATATATATATATATATATATATATATATATATATATATATATATATATATATATATATATATATATATATATATATTAACAGAATCTAGAAAAACCTGAATTTGATGATTTTGTGGTCTGCAAAACAACCCATTCCTAAAAACTAGGAAATGATGTTAGCAGATAGATATTATAAGTTTTAAAACTTTCCTTCTACCTATATTTGTATAACAAAAATGGGAAAAGGTTTTAATTACTGAACAGTTATTGGATTTTTCAAAAATCTTCTCTGTCTATTTGTAAGTGTCACAGTTCTAATTTATGTGTTTTGACGTCTTTGTATAACAGCTTCGTTTTAGAACAAATAGATGTTTCTCTTGCACTGTAATTTGTTACTTGTGTATATGTGTTTTGACTTTCGAGTGGTTTTGAAATCTGATCATTGTTACTCACTCATTGTATTTAAAGATCTTGAGATATCAAGTAGTATGTTGTGCTAGTCGCTTTGAGTTTAAGTTTAACTGATAATTTCCAGGTTCGTACAGTATTCATTCTAGCTTGAAGAGGCCATTGAAAATTTCTGAGTTGAAGCATGGAGGATAGGGTGGATTAAAACTCCTAATAAAGATTAGCTTAAGAGATGGATTGTAATTTGTAAACTAAGATCTAGTGAAAAATGTGAGTGTAAATTAATATATAATCCTCCACATTGTTTGGGATTCAAGATGTATCAATTAGGGCTGACCCACTGCAGGCCATTTGAGAAGAAAAGATTCTCATAAATTAGGAACTGAATGAACATGTGCAAAATTGTATAAACTACAAGCAAGTAGAACTTATACGACACTATAAAATTATGTGCAAAGGTAATTGAACACAGATTAAAAGGAGACTAGTATTGTAGAAAATCAATTAGAATTTATTACAGAATGTCTACAACAGACGATATATGTATTTCAGAGGGGTTGATAGAAAGGTATTGAAGCAAAGAGACTTACAAATAGTTTTTATTGACATAGAGAAGCATATAATCAAGTGCCAAGAGAAATGTTGTGGAAGGATTTGGAAAAAAAATGTATTTGCGTAGCTAATATCTAGGTGTACAAGACATGTATGATGGGGTATAACTACAAGTGTGAAAACTTACGGAAGCAAAACTCTAAAGGGTTTCCTATGAAGATAAGTTTACATCATGGCTCAACCTTGAGTCCTTACATTTTTAATCTAGTTTTAGATATATTTATTTGATAAAAACACAGCCCAATACACTTGGGCCAAAAGAATTACAAAGTGACCAAGCAACTACTTTGTTTGATTCAGTATAGTTCTAGATGACATGGGAATTGGTTATAACTGCTAGTAGTGCTTTTCATTTTTGCTAGATTCCTTTTCTGGTACCTAAAAGTGCAGATAGCCAATGATTCGCTCTTGTACCATGCTATATATTTCTACTATAAATGAAAAGCTAGAAAGGAAAATATCCATTTATCGGTATTTCGTAGCTTAGCATACTTACACTTGTATCTGCAATAGAGAAAAAATGAATACAGAAATGAAAATTGTGTATTGAGGGCTTCTTCATTTTAGCTTGTTTTTCAGTTTTTAAAAACAGTTTTAGTAATCAATTTAAATAATTGTATTGAAAAGAAATTGAAAAAAAAAAAAAACTTGTTTGATAATTTTAGTTTCCAAAACTGTTTTAAAAATGAGAAAATGAAAATACTTGTTTTACAAATTTGTTAGCAAAAACTGTTTTACAAACTTTTTCAACACGAATCTGCAATCATCTTGACCTTTACAGTGGATCTAAGGGATGAGGATGCTCACACAGTGCGGTAGGCAGTGCAACCTCTGCCCAGATGACACGATGATCCAAGTACATCCACATCCCATGATACCATTAATAAAAATAAAAAACTAAAAACATAAAACACATCTTATCAATTTTGATTTCAGTTTTTGAAATACAAAAATAAAAACAGTTTTTAAAAACTTAAAAACTCATTTTAAAAACAGTAAATAAACAGATCTTAGAATATTAGAGTAACAAGTGACGGACTTCTGTTTACCACAACTATATATAGACCACATAAGCTCATCTAACTGATGAGAGATGAAAATAGTTACAACAACTGACTAATATCCAATGACAGTTGTAACTGTATTACAAGCAACCTGACAGTGACAGCTATACTGACAAACAGAATAAGACAGTTATAAATAACTAACAATGTTACAACTAAAGGAGTTATTCACTCACAATAAGACTCTGTGTAAGCATTACAATTTTAACATGAAACAAAAGAAAATAATTTAGATTAATATAACAAAATAATGGAATTAAACGACATTTTTTACATATTTCATGCATTATAATATTTGTAGGTGTCATTTATTTTAAATTAGGGATTTGATTGATTCTCCATGTAATTATGATTGTACCTTGACTATTTTATAAATAGAATATATGTGTAATATTCAAGCACCACAATATTATCTCTTTTTTTCAGTATGTCATTAGTAGTACAGGTGTCAATTCCTTCTTCCCTTTTCTTTTATTTTTTTCAACTGTCACCAACAAGGATTGTGAATAATACTTTGAACTATTTTCACATCAGATTACCTCTTTTGGTGCTCCTTTTGAGAGCAAAATCACCATTCCAAAAACATTGATCACCTCTGTTAGAATCTCACAATCATCATTACAATAACACAGTTTTAAGTGATTCAACTGTTTTACAGTTGCGAAAATTTATTCATGTGGAAATGCTGCTAGTGTGCATCCACTTCCTTCTATTAGTCTTTAAGTTAATAAGTTGTCAAATACTTATGCCATTTGCATTAAGAGTCACTAACTTGTAACTTTAGCCGAAGTTATGATCATCCGACTATATGCAACCATCTTTTAGTGTTTCCAATTGAAGTTTAGTGCCTGTTTGCATGTGATTCTCCATAAGCATTTCTAGGAGAAAAAATTTAGAAAAATTGACATTATTGTTCCCATATCCAACATTTAGTTTATACATAAGTTTGTTTGTAGAAGTTATTTCATATATTTTATTCAATTTTCTTTTTGTCTTCTTTAACTTGAAGATAAGGCAATTTTAGTTCATACAGAAGTTTATTTCAATTTTCCTTCTTATTTTCTCCTCTAGAAGTTATTGTGAAGAAGTTCATCTAAAACAAACCCATAATTACGCGTTACATGCCATTGAAATACTATTTCCCTAATCAATGTCAGCTTACATGCACATATATACATATTCGAACAAAATTCTAGAATTTAAGTAGGATCTAAAAATCATCATTACAATCACACAGAGTTATGTATCTCCACCTCGCGATTTTATGTTCCACCCTCCACTACACAACCCTGCTTTAAAATTTCGACGACTAAAACCAATACTATTCGAACTAAACAAATCGTAAATACATTTTAATTAATTATGCAAAGTGCAACATGTGGTACCTGGCGGGAATAAGAGCGAGGTAGTTAACGGCTGAAGGTAAAAACTGAACCGTAATGTGACTGCAAACCAGAACCACCGCAAGGCCCTTGCATAACCGAGTGAACCCGGTGAAGGGACCCGTGCCCTGCCACCAAAAATTAATCAAATAAATGGAAATTAAAATGGGGAAGGTTCGAAACTTGGAGAAGTTTCTAGAATCTGATGGATGAGATAGCAAAGGGTTACCCCAGAAATCGCTGGCGTGCTCATGGACTCGGCGGTGATCCCAATCGGAAGAGGATCGGATCTGACAGGATCTGATGGGGTTTGTTGAAAAGAACGAGGACGTTATAAAGGAAAATGGAATGGAAGATGAGGATCTGATCTACTATTCAGACACTTGCTGAGTCTTCACCCAAACACTGATGCAAATAACATGTCCTTAATTTATTTTATTTTAGGAAATTACTCCGCTGTTCCCTTTACATTCAAACCTCAACTTTTAACATTCTACACAAATTTGTTTTAGAATAAAATATTAATATTGTAAGAAACTATTATAATGGTAAATATATATATATATATATATATATATATATATATATATATATATTTTTAAAGAAATCCAGAAAAACGAAAATCTATTTTTTTCCCAAATACTCTTTTTCTCCTCTTTTAATTTAATTTTTGATTCTGAGTTTGATTCTTTAATTTCTAAAACCAAGTTCTATAAAACAAGAGTTCTAATCATTATTTTTCATAAAGAAACTAATTAAACAAGTTAAATAAAAAATATTGAACAAACTAAAGAAGAATAAAAAGAATGATTTAACTTTTTTTTCTATATATAGGTTTAAAATGTTTTTTATTAAATAATTATTTTTTATAATTTTGAATTCTCATTTCAACCATACTAAATTTTTTTCCTAAGTCACCTCAATTATGATAACATCAAAATAAATTTAAACTAATTCCTCAACTCACTTTTTAATTGGATGGATTAAGATTTATATTTTATTATTAAACTAATTCCTCAACTCACTTTTTAATTGGGTAGATTAAGATTTATATTTTATTATGAATACGATAGATCAATCCAACTCATTTTTAATAAACTAGAAATGAGACTAGATAAATTGACTCATCTTACCATGTTATGTACATAATATTAATATATTTTCTTTTATTAAATAATTATTTCTATAAATTTGAATTCACATCTCAAGCATACTATCTAGCACTTCTTTCTTTTTTCCTAAGTCACTTAATCATCTATTAAGTAAATTATAATAGCATCAAAATAAATTTAAATTCAAAATAAATAGAGATATAAATATTTTAAAATATAACATTTTCTTAAAATTAAAATGCAATATTATAAATACATAATGTAAAAATCTTACAAAAAAAAGTCATTTGATTTATATAAAAAATTGTTATTAAAATGTTAATAACAAAACTTTTCCCAAAAGAAGGTGAATTCAATATTCAAAATCTTTTCAAATCTAATCAATTATGAAAGAGTTTTTTTTTATATATATATATAATCAACTACAGAAGAATTATAGTAGTTTTTAGAAAACAAGAATATGAAGATAGTGAGAAGAAAAAAAATCACAAATTTATACTTGGTTCGATTCTTCTTGAATCTAAATCCAATTTTAACAAAACAACCTTAATCTAGAGTTTTTTCTTTTTTTACTTTAAACAAGATTACTACCTAATCTAAAGATCTTGATTTACAACAACCTTTTATCAAGATCACAATACTTGAAAATGTTTCTCCTCACAATTTTCAAGTTAAATTGATGTAGCTAGTCTCACATACATCAAAATTCAATACAAGATTCATATAAGAAAAATATGAAACAAATTCACCTTAGATTCACACAACAATACACCCTATAGCCAAACAACCTTTCTTTGAATTTGATCTTCAAAGCATTTTCCAGAATTACACTTTTTTATTAATGTCCTCATGTTCTTTCTAATTGCTTTAATTCGTTTTTTTAAGATATTTTTGATAGAAGAAAGTTTGCATCCTTTTATAAAAAGAAAATTGTTGTAATTGTCTCAGATAATCGATTAGGTATCAATATAACTAAGATTTAGGCAAATAATCAATTAAGGGACCACATAATTGATTAATAGCGCATGTTATGAAAACTTAATTTTAAGTCATATAATCGATTAAGTGTTTATCTAACCAATTAATACAGTTTCAATTTTAATATATTTGATTATTTTTACCTTCAAAGTTTAGATTATTTGGTTTTATACAAACTATCCACACTAACTACTTATATATCATAGACATCATGAAAAAGTAAATACTCTTCCTTCTTCATCAACAATCTCCCCCTTTTTTTATGATGGCCAACCAATAAAGTAAAACATAGATTCTCCTTTATTTAGTATAACCAAATAACAGTATCAACCATTAATATTCTTCTCCCCCTTTTGGACTTAATAAAAAAAGAGTTAAACATGCAATTGGAAGATTAATAGCATAAAAGGAAATATAATATCAGATAAAGAGTTAAAATAGTAGTTAATTACATACCAAAAAATGTATAAGTCAAATATTACAATGCAACAAAGAAATAGTTCATGCAAATTTTAACATATGATTAAAAAGAAAGCATCATTCATCATTGTTGGAGGATAGTTGAACAGTTCCATCACTACCATTTTCATCATTTTCTATTTTAGTACCATCTTGTTCATGTTGTAACATAGTTATAATGGAAGAAACTTGATCATCCAACACATCAAATCTAGAGCAACAATATTTATGTTTGTCCTGTTGTCATAGATGAATTTTATCCAACTTTTCTAGCATACTCTGTTCAAAGGCAGAAAAATTACTCCTAGCAAAGGAGGCATGAATATAAACATTAATAGGTTCTACACCTTCCTCAACAAATTCTTTGTCATCTTTGAAGAACCATCCATCATCTTTCTTAGCCAATCCCATATGGTGAAGAAAAAATTTCCTATGGAATTGGCATGGCTCATGGTGGTGAAAGATTCTCCATCCACATTAACACCAACATATTCAAACATTTTAGACAGAAACACAGAGTAAGGTAATGGATAAAGAGGATGCCTATAAGATTTCTGCATGTTATCACTGATAATTGTGGGCCAGTCAATTTGAAATCTAGATTTGAGAGCATGTATGATGTACATATCCTCAGAGGTTAGCTGAGCATGATTGCTCCCCTAGAAATAAGAATCCAAGTTATCACAAAAGCTAACATTCTTTCATCCTTCTTCATAGCACCAGTTTTATAAATGCTGGTAGTATTTGGATTCCTAAGACAGGATCTAAACACAACTAACTTATTAAAATTCTCAAATCCATTTGTCACATTTTCACCTCCTATTGTAACACCAACAACATTTATCCAAATTTATTCATCTAAGACTATATATATCCCTTTAACTTTAGAATGAATGACTCCATTTATGGTTCTTAAGTTGCAGTAGAAAGCCTTGACCAAATCAGGGTAGAATACCCCGTTCATCTTAATGAACTTCTCTAGTTCTTGATATACTAATAAATCTTGAAATAAAAACCATTTTGTCTAAAGAAAGAGGTAGAGAGATACTTATAGGTAATCAATCTTCTTTCCTTTCAATGAATGAGAAACTCTTCTATCTATTCATCATCATTAACCCAACCTTCTACAGAAGTGGGTCTTGGAGGTCTTTTGGAAGCAGTTCTCTTCATTCTCTTTGGTTTTGCAGTGGAAGCCATTTGATCAGAGTAAGAAGAAGAGTTTCAAGTAAAAGAGTAGCTCTGGCAGTAATGGAGGCTAGGATTTTGAATGGGATACTTGAAGGAGGATGAGAGAGTGTGAAGATGAAGTTAGTAAAGTGAAGTGTGCAGAGAATTAATTATGTACGTATGATAAACAATTATATAAGTGGATAATCGATTAATAGAACATGCACCAGATTCTGAAGAAGGTTATTTAATTGATTATATAAGCTGATAATCGATTATCAGTGCATCTTATAAAATTCTGAAAGTCCTAATTTAATCAATTATTTTATTTTTAATCGGTTATTTTAACATCCTAGAGGTGATCTAATCGATTATGTCAAATATTAATCGATCGTTTCTATCAGATTTTATGCAAATCAATTTTTAATCAGAGGAATTTATATGTTGGATGCCTAATTCAATTCTAATAGTATAAAATCTTTCCCTAGGCAAAGGTTTAGTAAAAATATCAGTTAATTGTTGATTTGTATTAATATACTCAATTTTACAATTCTCTTTAATTACATGATCCCTGATAAAATGATGTCTAATTTCTATATGTTTCATTCTAGAATGCATAATTGGATTCTTAGTTAGATTTATGGCACTAGTGCTATCACATTTCAAAGGAATATGTTCTAAATGTATACCATAATCTTCTAACTGATTCTTGATCCAAATTTATTGAGCACAACAACTACTTGCAGCTATGTATTTAGCTTTAGTAGTGGACAATGCAACACATGTTTGTTTCTTAGAATGCCATGATGCTAAAGAATACCCCAGTAAGTGACATGTTCCACTAGTACTCTTCCTATCTATTTTGCATCCCCAAAATATGAATCACTGTAACCTGTTAAAACTAGTTCAGTTCCTCTAGGATACCATAGTCCAAGATTTATAGTACCTTTTAAGTATTTCAAAATTCTTTTTACAACAACTAAATGAGATTCCTTAGGAGCAGATTGAAATCGTGCACAAACACACACACTATGCCTGATATCAGGACGACTAGATGTTAAGTATAGAAGTGATCCAATCATACCTCTATACATAGTTTGATTAACCGCATTACCTTTTACATCATTGTCTAGATAACATTTTATAGCCATTGGGGTTATGGATTCCTTACAATTATCCATTGAGTATTTCTTCAACAATTCAGCACAATACTTGGATTGATGTATAAAGATTCCATTATTAGCTTGGTTTACTTGCAAACCAAGAAAGAGTGTAAGCTCACCCATCATTGACATTTCAAATTCCTGTTACATGCTAATTGAAAATTCTTTGCATAGAGCAGAATTAGTAGATCCAAATATAATGTCATCCACATATATTTGTACAAATAACAAATTCTTACCAGCTTTTTTAATGAATAAGGTTGAGTCCACTTTATCTCTATTAAAGTTGCTTTTAATAAGAAATTGACTTAACATTTCATACCAAGATCTGGGAGTTTGCTTCAATCCATAAAGTGTTTTCTTCAATTTGAATA